CCCAAAGCTTCTGTTGGCCTATTAGTTGGCAGGGCCAGGGCCCAGCTGGTCCCAGGGCAGGTTCTGGCCTTGGTGGGTGCACTAGGTTTGTACGCTGCGGAGCTGCCATTGTCCTGTGGCTAGAGTCCACCTGCTGGTGGGTGAGGCTGGTCCTGAGGCTAGTGCAGGCTCGCTGGTGGGTGGAGCCAAAGATTCTGGTGTTGGTTTCTGCCCACTGGTGTGTGGGGCTGGTTCCTGTGTCCTCTGGTGGGAAGGGCTGTGTCCAGGGGAGGCTATGGGCTCAGGAGGTCTTAAGGCAGCTGTCTGCTGGTGAGTGGGACTGTGTCCCTGCCTAGTTAGTTGCTTGGCCTGAGGCATTCCAGCGCTGGCGCCTACAGGCTGTGAGTGGGGGCGGGGCTGGGTCCTGAGACTAATAAGCTAGAGGGAGGATTCCAGAATGGCACTTGCCAGCGCTAGTGTCCACTGCCGCCAGCATCTGTGTCATCAGGGAGAGCTGCCATTGCCTCCTGCTTCTCTGGGAGACTTTCTAGATCAGCAGGTAGGTCTGACCCAGGCTCCTTTCGAATCACTTTTGCCCTGGGTCCCAGAGCTTGTGAGATTTTGTATGCGCCCTTTAAGCATAGAGTCTATTTCCCTCAGCCCTCTGGGACTCCCAAAAGTAAGGCCTGCTGGCCTTCCGGAGCTTGTCTTCCCGATGCAGGACCCCCAGGCCGGGGAGCTGATGCGGGGCTCAGACCTCTTACTCCTTTGGGAAAAGTTCTGCAATTTTAACACATTATTTTTTTTTTATTTATTTATTTATTTTTTTTAACATCTTTATTGGAGTATAATTGCTTTACAATGGTATGTTAGTTTCAGCTTCACAACAAAATGAATCAGTTATATATATACATATATTCCCATATCTCTTCCCGCTGCGTCTCCCTCCCTCCCACCCTCCCTATCCCACCTCTCCAGGCGGTCACAAAGCACCGAGCTGATCTCCCTGTGCTATGCGGCTGCTTCCCACTAGCTATCTACCTTACGTTTGGTAGTGTATATATGTCCATGCCTCTTTATCGCTTTGTCACCGTTTACACTTCCCCCTCCCCATAGCCTCAAGTCCATTCTCTAGTAAGTCTGTGTCTTTATTCCTGTTTCACCCCTAGGTTTTTCATGACATTTTTTTTTTTTAATTCCATATATATGTGTTAGCATACGGTATTTGTCTCTCTCTTTCTGACTTACTTCACTCTGTATGACAGACTCTAGGTCTATCCACCTCATTACAAATAGCTCAATATCGTCTCTTTTTATGGCTGAGTAATATTCCATTGTATATATGTGCCACATCTTCTTTATCCATTCATCCGATGATGGACACTTAGGTTGTTTCCATCTCTGGGCTATTGTAAATAGAGCTGCAATGAACATTTTGGTACATGACTCTTTTTGAATTATGGTTTTCTCAGGGTATATGCCCAGTAGTGGGATTGCTGGGTCATATGGTAGTTCTATTTGTAGCTTTTTAAGGAACCTCCATACTGTTCTCCACGGTGGCTGTATCAATTTACATTCCCACCAACAGTGTAAGAGGGTTCCCTTTTCTCCACACCCTCTCCAGCATTTATTGTTTCTAGATTTTTTGATGATAGCCATTCTGACTGGTGTGAGATGATATCTCATTGTAGTTTTGATTTGCATTTCTCTCATGATTAGTGATGTTGAGCATTCTCTCATGTGTTTGTTGGCACTCTGTATATCTTCTTTGGAGAAATGTCTATTTAGGTCTTCTGCCCATTTTTGGATTGGGTTGTTTGTTTTTTTGTTATTAAGCTGCATGAGCTGCTTATAAATTTTGGAGATCAATCCTTTGTCAGTTGCTTCATTTGCAAATATTTTCTCCCATTCTGAGGGTTGTCTTTTGGTCTTCTTTATGGTTTCCTTTGCTGCGCAAAAGCTTTTAAGTTTCATTAGGTCCCATTTGTTTACTCTTGTTTTTATTTCCATTACTCTAGGAGGTGGGTCAGAAAGAATCTTGCTGTGATTTATGTCATAGAGTGTTCTGCCTATGTTTTCCTCTAAGAGTTTGATAGTTTCTGGCCTTACATTTAGGTTTTTAATCCATTTTGAGCTTATTTTTGTGTATGGTGTTAGGGAGTGATCTAACTTCATACTTTTACATGTAGCTGTCCAGTTTTCCCAGCACCACTTATTGAATAGGCTGTCCTTTCTCCACGGTACATTTCTGCCTCCTTTGTCAAAGATAAGGTGACCATATGTGCGTGGGTTTATCTCTGGGCTAGAGCTAATCAATGAATTTGGTAAAGAGGCAGGATACAAAATTAATGCACAGAAATCTCTGGCATTCCTATATACTAATGATGAAAAATCTGAAAGTGAAATCAAGAAAACACTCCCATTTACCATTGCAACAAAAAGAATAAAATATCTAGGAATAAACCTACCTAAGGAGACAAAAGATCTGTATGCAGAAAATTATAAGACACTGATGAAAGAAATTAAAGATGATACAAATAGATGGAGAGATATACCATGTTCTTGGATTGGAAGAATCAACATTGTGAAAATGACTCTACTACCGAAAGCAATCTATAGATTCAATGCAATCCCTATCAAACTACCACTGGCATTTTTCACAGAACTAGAACAAAAAATTTTGCAATTTGTATGGAAACACAAAAGACCCCGAATAGCCAAAGCAATCTTGAGAACGAAAGAAGGAACTGGAGGAGTCAGGCTCCCAGACTTCAGACTATACTACAAAGCTACAGTTATCAAAACGGTATGGTACTGGCACAAAAACAGAAAGATAGATCAATTAACACATTATTGACTGGTGGATTTTTGCAGAAACTAACACCTGTGGCTGGCGATTTTTACCTAAGTGAATATCAAAACACCTGCATTTGATTAAATGTCAACAACCTTTTTTTGCATTTAATGCATTTACTTGAAACTTTGTACATGTCTTACTAAAGCATTCTAATATTTCGTTAGAGTGTGATAGTGATAGGCAGTATAGCAGGCACCTCTGTGCAGGGGAACAAAACATCTATTACAAATACACCGTGTTTCACTGCTCTTTCCCCTGGAAGAGCAGACTCTACACTTTTCTGGCGGCAATTTTTTTTTTTCTTTTAGTTCTGTGGGTATTATTCCCTCTAGAATATGTTCTTTTATTTTACCTGATAGTCGACAAGGTGGGTCTTTGCGGGAGGCTCTTTTAGAAACACCACAAGAAGAACCAGGTGCAGGACTACCACTACATTCACCAGGATGGTCAGTTACCCATTCTCTAACTACTGCTAACAAAAATTGCGTGTAAGTCATTTTATTCTGTGCATTAAGGCTACAATAAATTTTAAACGCATTGAATAAACCACAATTACTCAAATAGAAACCCACTTTTTTATACCATTTGCTAGTTTTCCAGAGGATACTGAAGTTTGCCAGATATTGATCAGATCGATCAACTCCTTTCGTATATTTATTATACTCTAATATACAAGTGGGATTAGTTATCTGATGGCCAGTCCTCCTGTCTTCCTTTCCTATAGATGCTATAGAGGCGTCATGAATAGTTGTCACCATGCGAACTAGCCTCTTGTCTTTCCATATAAGAAGAATCACTTCTTCCTTCTGTAAGAATGTCATTTCTCCCCTCCGTAGATTTTTCGATTTCTCCTTAATTGGTTTGGTAGACCATGATTCTCTCTTATAGTCCCACGATCTCTGGTTTTATTTTTCAACAGTATTTCAGATGCGGACACACTGTTGTAAAAATTGTCTCAGTAAATATGGTGTCATGAACCAAGGTAAAGTTGTAGGACCAATAATATTGTTTCTTGCAGTTTCTTTCCTTCACCTGTGTAAATCTCAAGGTTGCATATATATCCTGTTTCACTTTCGCTAACCATCCTGACCAAAATTCCATATTTTGTAAGTTTTCTGGCATTATAGGTTTTGAATCTGAGGCATCCTCACCACTTTATCATTGCCTCGCCAAGTGATAGCTCTTGTTTGGGTATATAGATAGATTGAAATTTTGGTAGAAAATAATCCAAAATAGGTTTAACATTTGAAATTCTGTCTGCAGGAAGTGGAGTTTCCGAGTTATCGTTAAAGTGAAGAAATTTCATTATGTGTTCGAATCTTCTTCTTGTCATAATCTTTGGAAAGATAGGTGTTTCAAGTAAGGGATCAGTCGACCAGTATTCTTTCCAGTATGACTTTCTTATTTGTCCCATCAAAATTATTAATCCAAGAAACATCTTCCTGTCACTGTTGGTTATATTAGTCCATTTTAAAGCCTTATCATACTTTTTATATGGTTTTTTATTCTGTCGGGGATACAAGTTTGTTTGAGAAGCGTCCAACTCGAAAAAGTCGTTACCAAAAATTAATTCTGTAATTTCACTAACACTTTGCGGATTATTACATTCAGTAGTTACACCTGACATATCTGTAAAGTCATCTAATTTTCCTGAAATGTTGTCTTCAATCCACTCTTCTGTAGAAGCAAAGGAGCATTCTCCAGCACTGTGAGTTTCATTTTCACTTTCCGTATCAGAATCAATCACTAAGGTTTTTTGTCTTTTTTGGGTCTAATATTCACATTGTCTGAATCAGAACTATATTCCGAAGAACTGTCATTTTCTGAGACACTAGTATATATTTCACTCGGACAATCAGAGAAAGTATCTGCATAAAATTCACCGAAAAATTCTTCTTCACTCAAAAGTTTGCTATGTGTCATTTCTGAAAATTTTACAGTAATAAACTTGAATTTATAATATACACAAGTTTGGAACAAAAACCTAATGGGGCAAACTGTGAATGATAATGACAATCATAAATTGTATAATGAACCCTTGATCAATTTTAAGCTCTAACAACTTCACACGGTGATATTAATTGTATCACTCTCTGAAAACATATTGATACATCTCTGGTCAATAAGTTGTTAATTTTCTCCTGTTTGTGGATTGCTCACCCAGGAGTATAGGACGAGCCTATATTGTGACTCCTCCCCTCCTACCAGTCTCATTGTGGTTGTAGAAGATCTTTTCTGGTAGGTTTCAGTCTTTTTTGTTGATCGTTATTCTGTAAATAGTGGTAATTTTGGTGTGTCTGTGAGGGGGTGTGAGCTTAGGGTATTTCTACTCTGCTGTCTTGGTCCATCAATCTTGTGCATCTTTTTGAACTAACTTGGCTAAGTTCTCTGACTATCCCAATTCTTTTCAATTTTTTAAAATCTAGATTTGTAAAAGAAATTTGTCACTGCCCCATCCTAGATTCACTTTATCTAAATAAATATCAGTTTCTTGATAAAGGGCAATTTTCTAATAATAATTATCTCATTGATTATATTTGGTTTATATTCCATGAATAAAATATTGTTCTTCCAGAGTTGGCCCATTATGGCACTGATTTCCTGTTTCAAAGAATAAGATGCAAAGCAATGGATAGTGAAGAGTACCCAGGCCAGATATAGATATTTTATTGTGTTTCATGATTTTTTTTAACCAAAGAAACATTAACCCTCAAAGATTACCAATTGGGCTTCCCTGGTGGTGCAGTGGTTGAGAGTCCACCTGCCGATGCAGGAGACACGGGTTCGTGCCCCGGTCCGGGAAGATCCCACATGCTGCGGAGCAGCTGAGCCCGTGAGCCATGGCCTCTGAGCCTGTGCGTCCGGAGCCTGTGCTCCACAACGGGAGAGGCCACAACAGTGAGAGGCCCGTGTACCACAAAAAAAAAAAAAAAAAAAGATTACCAATTATTTCTTAATAAAACAAACCATAAATTGTTCTATAAACCTATGATAATTGGTATGATAATGGTAATTGATCTCTTCCAATAGCCAACACCTTTAGTTCTTCTTTCTTGAACTTTTCTATTCTCAGGCTCTCCATAAAACTTCACTGTCTGTACATTCTCTAAATCTCTTTCTGAGGCTTCCTTAGCACTTATAAATTTAAACTAGATAAGGTACATAGTGCTTTAATAGATGTTGACTTCATCTTTAGCCCTTAAATGTGAAGATTTTACAGTGTTCAGGGCTTCAACTCTTCAAACTAATTTCCTAAGAAATTTTATTCAGTTTTGAAACTTCACAGATTATGTGAATTACTCCTAAATTTACGTCTCTGCTTTTAATATTTCTCTGAACTCAATTTACATATTTCCAACTGCCTGATAGGCATTTACACTCTGATATCTTGACATCTCTTTAAACTCAACAATCCTAAATTATAGTCCTCTACTTTCCACTAAAACCAACTCTCACTCAGAACTACTTGCACCATCCCCAAGTAACTCCTGATGAAAACTTCTCTGTAATTTATTTTCTATATTTTAACTTACTCCAGTACTCCTATATGTAATCAACAAATCATTTGAGTTTCCTTTTACTTTTATTATTGTTAAAATTTGACTCTATAGTCTCTGTTAATTTATCTATAGATTATTTTGGTTGATTCCTGTGGTATTCCTTTCCTTGTTTCCTACTTCTCTATTCTGCCTAAAACATCCTACAACTCCATTTTAATCATATCAATAAAAAATTTTAATAGAGTCTCAGTAAATTTAAAATTCTTTAGCCTAATATTTAAGATACTATGCAGTCTAGCTATAACCTGCCTTTTATATCCACCATCCACAGTACAAAACTTGTGTTATATTCTAGATGGTACATTCACTGTTGACTAGACACACATCAGTCATTCTAGCTCACTATATCATACTTCTGCTTACCTTCTATTTACCTTCTACGTCCAACTCAACTTCAAGGCTCAGCTCAAACCTCTCACTCTCTCTGAACCTTCTGGGCCACTCTTGTTCCTAGTTATCCTTCCTTCTTTGGCCTCCTGTTACATTTACTCTATATACCATCCATTTGATATTCACTGCCTTATCTCAGCTCTTGAAACTTATCAACTTGGCTCATCCTGTAGTTTCAATTGTATTGAAAATTTACTGATTGTAAAAGCTGTGGGAAATATATTTTGTATATCTCATAGTGCTAGCACAATACTATGCCTTTAATGCATGTTTGTTAAATAAGTAAATGTTTGCTTAAGTGTGTCACTGTGAAAAACAGCCACAATCCACAGCAGTTTAGTTTAAGCTGTATTTACAATTGAATAGATTTTCTCTGTGAATTCTGCTCTCTATAATACTTGATACTAAACCGAGAATGGTCAAGTGACAAATATTTGATCATCACATCTGTCTCAGTTAAGAATAAGGTGATTTCCTGCTGAGAATTATTGCTCTAAATATTCAACAGCTCTGGACACTCACCATCTCCCCAGATGACATAGCCATCAGTGTATAGGACACCACGTGATGTACATTTTATTTAATCAGTCTCTCTTCTTATTGAAAGCCTTGTACCCTAATCTCTATCCTTTATCCAAAATCTCCCTTAATTCTACATTCTAACTTTAAGAAAACAAACAAACAAAAACACATAAGCTAAGGCCCTGACATTGGTTCTCATAATTTGGTTCCTTCCTGACTTTTCTGAAGTCCCTTTAGGAGTGACATCAGCATAATAGTGGCAAAAGACATCCCTCATTTTGTCTCCCACTCAACAACAAAAATTCACCATCCATCCACAGACAAAAGTGAGACCCAACACCATCTACCACGGGATCAAGGAGGAGTCTCACCTACCTATGCTTCAGGTAACAGACACACAGGCCTCAGTCCCAGCTGAGGACCCTGCAGTGGGCTGTGTACTGACTCCTGCTCCTCTCAGCCACGGTGCAGGAGCTCCTGGAAAGCACTGTCTTAGACAATCATCCATGGATAAAAGAGCCTTTGTGGAACTTCAGGTATGCAGAGAAGTTCCACAACACTGTGGTAGCAAAAACTATGAATCTGGATACATTGAAATGGGCAGAGAGTAAAGATTGGAGGAGGTGACTGCCACTTTAAATAGGAAGACAACAATGCAAAATTTCAAGGAACATGAAAATCAAAGAAGTAACAAGACACCACCAAAGGATGACAATAATCTTCCAGTAACTGAACTCAAAGACCTGAAGATCTGTGATTTACCTGATAGAAAGAATTCAAAATGGCTATTTAAAGGAAATTTGATGAGCTACAGAAAACACAGAAATTCAAAAAGATCAGGAAAATAATACATGAACAAAATGAGAAATTTAACAAGGAGATAGAAATTTTTTTTTTTTTTTCAGTATGCGGGCCTCTCACTGTTGTGGCCTCTCCCGTTGCAGAGCACGGGCTCCGGATACGCAGGCTCAATGGCCATGGCTCACGGGCCCAGCCACTCCGCAGCATGTGGGATCCTCCCAGACGGGGGCACGAACCCGCGTCCCCTGCATCGGCAGGCGGACTCTCAACCACTGTGCCATCAGGGAAGCCCAATAGAAATTTTTTTATGAAAGAAACCAAACAGAAATTTTACAGCTAAAGAATATGCTGAATGAAATGAAAAATACAACAGAGAGCATCACCAGGAGAATGGATCAAGCAGAAAAGGCATCTGTGAGACAGGAGACAGGAACTTTGAAATTATCCTGTCAGGGGAGAACAAAGGGAAAAAAAAAAGGAGAGTGAAGAAAGCCTATGTGATACATTGAAGTTCCAGGAAAAGAGAGGAAAAAGGGAGCAGAAAGTATATTTAAAGAAATAATGGCTGGTAACTTCCCAAATCTGAGGGAAGATTTGGATATTCGTGTTCATGAAGCTCATAGGTCACCAAACTCAACTTTAAAGAGATCCTCTCCAGAGCACATGATAATAAAACTGTCAAAATTCAAAGATAAAGAGAGAATCTTGAAGGCAACAAGAGGATAAAACGCTTGTAACTTACAAGGGAGCCCCCGTAGAGTTATTAGCAGATTTCTCAGCAAAAACCTTATAGACCAGGAGAGAGTGAGATGATATATTCAAAGTACTGAACTAAAATAAATGCCAATCAAGAATACTTTACCTGGCAAGCCCGTCTTTCAGAAATGAAGTAGGGATAAAGACTTTTCCAGACAAACAAAAGTTGAAGAAATTTGCCACCACTAGACCTGCCTTATGAGAAATGCTGAAAGGAGTTCTTCAAGCTGAAATGAAAAGATACTAATTGGTAACATGTATATATGAAAATGTATAAACCCTGGTAAAGTATATAGTCAAAGTTAGATTACTCTAATACTATAATATGGTAGAGTGTTAACCACTTAATTCTAGTATAAAGGTTAAAGGACAAGAGTACTAAAAATAAGTATAGCTACAATAACCTGTTAATGAACAAACAACATAAAAAGAGGTAAATTGTGACTTTAATAACATAAAATGGGGGGAATAAAGGGGTAGAGTTTTTGTATATGATTGAAGTAAAGCTATCAGCATAAATAGATTATTATATCTATAAGATGTTTTTTGTAAGCCTCATGGTAACCACAAAGCAAAAACCTACAGTAGATTCACAAAGGATAAAGATAAAGGAATCAAAGCATACCACTACAGAAAATCATCAGTTTACAAAAGAAGACTGCAAGAGAGGAAGAGAGGAAAAAGGGAAAACGAGAACAGCAAGAAAACAGTAAGATGACATGGGTAAGTCCTTACCTATCAGTAATTACTCTTCATGCAAATTGACTGAATTATCCAATCAAAAGACATAGAATGGCTGGTTGGTAAAAAAGAAAAATGAACCATGATCCAACTATATGCCACCTATAAGACACTTTCAGCTTTAAGGACACACATAAGCTCAAAGTAAAGTGATGAAAGAAGATATTCCATGTAATTGGAAACCAAAAGAAAGTGAGGTAGTTTTATCAGACAAAATAGACTTTAAGCCAAAAAATGGTAACAAGAGACAAATTCATTATATAATGATAAAGGGATCAAGAAGGTATAAGAAACAAATATATACACACCCAACATCGGGGCACCAAAATATATTAAGCAAATACTAACATCTGAAGGGAGAAATAGACAACAATATAATAATAGTATGGATTTCAATACCCCACTTACAACAATGCATAGATCATCTAGAAAGAAAATCAATATGAAAATCTTGGGTTTAAACCATAC